CAGCGCCAGACTGGCAGTTGGTAATCACCCTGTCCCGGGATCCGGGAAGTGGAAATCTTTTGTTGCCTTTCCCATGTGCACAGAGGGCAGGGATTGTGTGGCTGCTGGGGGGAGAGGAACAGGAAGGAGGAGCCGTCCCGGGGCGGCTCTGAGCCCTCCAGGTCTGGCAGATTTTCCCCCAAGCTCTCAGCGCCAGACTGGCAGTTGGTTTAATCACCCTGTGGGGACAAAGAAAGCCATTTCAAGGGAAGACCTGTTTCACCAAGGTTTCCTTCAGTGCTCTGTGATGCTCACACAACAACAAAACTGCCTAATGATGTGCTGTGTCTGTCCACTAGGGACCAGGGTAAAGCATGCCAGGCAAGTGCTCTCCCAGTGAGCTGTATCCCGACCCTGCCCAGCACAGAGGGCCAGTGTGGGAACCATCTTCTCACTCCCAAACCCTGTCCAACCAGGTCCCTTGCTGTCCCTTCTGGGACTCAAGGACCTCCACAGACTGTGCTTCCAACCCAAACATCCAAGGTTAAAACTGACACTGCTGCATCCACAGATTCGGTTTTATGCCTCAGGTCCACCTTATTTTCCTACTTCTGTCTCATCCTTCTCTCCTGCTCATAACTCTCATTTTTTCCTCCCAAAACCCCGTGGTCTACTCAGTGTGTTGCGACCTGCACAGCATAGGGTCCAAAGCTGGGGACAGCAGTGGGAGATGAAGAAACAAAGACTATTCTTGAGTTGGGACCAGGTGGAACCATAACTTGTCAGGAGGCCATGGCTGCGCGGGCTCCCAGGTACTCTTCATTTATAAGGGAAGGAAGAAAAGGTGGGGCACATACTGCTAGGAGGCCTGGTGGACAGCGCGACTGTCTTCCGAGCAGGCATGCACAGGAGGGGACCAGGGAAGGGTGCAATGTAACTGTCTAGTGGCCCAGGATTTAGCTCAGTGGTTCCAGTGAATGCCTCGCAAGCCAAGCGAAGGAGCCGAATTAGATCCCTGGTACAAAAAAAAAGTAACTGGGGGCTGTGCCATCCGGGTCTGCAGTCTGTGGAGGAAAGCTCGCGGCATCAGTGGTCACTCGCCACATCTAGTCCAAGTGATGGGGCACTTGGAGGACATAAAAGCCCAGGTGTCATTATGACCCCAGTGCGGCCGCACTTCCATGAGGCCTGTGCAGGGGGAATTCAGCGCCGGGCTGTGAGCTGGGTGGTACCAGGGAGGCGAAGAGGTTTGTTCAGCTGGCCACGGTTCTGAACAGTGGGCACTGGTCAACTCTGCACGCTGCAGGCTGCAGAAAGCAGGAAGCCGCAGTTCTCTACTGCAGGGGCAGTGCAGACCCCCAGGGATCTCCAGAGAGAAGGCTGAGCAGGCGGGCCAGGGAGGGACTAAGGACAGAAGCTTCACTTTAAAAGCAGGGACGCCGAGGCAGGGAGGAACTTTTCAAGGTAAAACGATAGCTACAAGCATGGCAAGGGGAAGCAAAGCTGCACACGCAGCCTCAGCACCCGCCCTCTCCCACCCCACTACACACAACCACAACATAAACTGACCCCGATCCGTGATTCCATGGTCATGGAGAACTGGGTCCCCACTTCTGAGGCTCACGGGCCCCTGATCTGGGGTCAGGGTTTTCTGCTCAAAGGCGTGGATGTGCGGCGGCTCCTCTGCTAGGCACTCGTTCACCAGCCTGAGGCGAGAGATGGGGTTGGGAAATGGCAGGCGGGGCTGTGTGACTCGTCCCCAGATGGTGACCCAGAAGAGATCTCCAGCACGATGGAAAGGGATGAAGAACAGAGAATTCACAATACTCGAAACAGGGCTACCAGGATGGGATCCTGGGGTGCTGGGCCTTACTGCAGAGGTGAGGACGTTTGTATGTCATGGATGCAGGGAAAGCCATGGTTGTGGTCCTGGAGCTGAGGGGTTCTGGGGACAATGGTGTTTGTTTTTGGTTTTTTGGGGGGGTACCGGGGATCAAACTCGGGTCCTTGTGCTTTCGAGGCAGGCGGCAACACCACTGAGCTAAATCCCCAGCCCTCACTGGTGTTTCTCAAGCAATGGCTGTCCCTCAAGCTTCACTGCCCAGTAGGACTGGTCCTGTAAAGGCTGACAGTCCTGTCCTCCACCTTGCCCTGGGCAGGAGAGTGGGGCAGATGCTGACCCAGCCCCAGTGAGGCAGCCAGGCCCTCCCGCTTTCCTACGGGTTAACAAATACACCGGACAACTGAGAGCTAAAGCAGGCACAGGTCTCCAATACTATAAAGAAGATCACAGACCAGGAGGCACAAGGACAGGGAGCCAGCTCAGTCTTCAACACGTGTGCTCAGCAGATACACCAAGAAGACGGAAGCCTGACCTCACCCCCAAGAAGAAATAAACAAGTTCATTAAATCAAACTGGCCAAGGGGCAAGGGGCTGATCTGCCCTGCTCCAAAACCCAATTAGGAAATTTCCTGATAATAAGGGGTAAATTCTAAGTGACATGGATAAATACATGTGCAGAATACTCCCTAAGATAACCTTTACTTACCTTTACTTTATTAGCATGGTAAAAAAATATCCTGTAATGGAGATTTTAAAATGGTAATGAAGCCAGATGTGGTGGCGCACGCCTGCAATCCCCGCACTCAGAAGGCTGAGGAAGGAGGATTGCAGTGAGATCAAGGCCAGCCTGAATATATAGTCCATCTCAAAAAAGAAAGCAAAAAACCAAAAACAAAATACAGTGAGGTTTTACATTTATTAAAAGCAGGAAAAGAAACATGCTCTGCAGAGCAAGTGAGAGCCAGTTAACAGTGGGAAAAGAAGTGCACTCTGCAGGGTGAGGGGACCACGGAAGGAGAGGGCACAGCAGTGGCCATCTTGTGTGTCTCTCACTCTTCAGGCTGAGGTCAGGGCTAGGACAGCCTGTCAAAAACCTGCTTGAGTTCTCCAGAACTGGAGATAGCACCTTCTGATTGGTTCCAGGTGGTCTCAGACTGTCTTCTCCTGGATCTCCCACTTGCCTAGGGAGACGGCCTCACTGCCATAAAGCTGTACACTTTATTCATTTGTAATGGGGATCCGGACACTGGGCCTGTAGCTGCCCACTGCATAACTAAGAGCAGGACGAAACTTGGCGTCTGTGCCTTCGTTTTATCTGCCTTCTTACCTTAAAATTTTGGATCAGATGGCTGCTCAGCTCTGCACAAAGGCATGCTAACCATTTAAGGAGTCCTGGTAATATAAACCTCATTAGTCCTAAATTTACCTATCCCATCCTCCTTTCAGACTAAGAGTAACTACTGCACTGCCTGATGGTGGCGTAAGCCTGTGATGCAAGCACTGGGGGAAGCTAGAGGAGGAGGACCACGAGTCGGAGTCCAGTCTGGAAAACTTAGCCATGTGGTAAGACTGTACGAAGAAGAACTTTAAAAAATAACTTCAGGATGTGTAGGGACATCCAATCCCCAAGTTTACAAGGGTCAGTCCCAGATCCCTTGGAGCAATGCCTAGAAGTCCTCAGTGATTGACCTACACCGAGTCACCTCGATTCCAGGAAAAGCAGAGCATTTCAGACCACCCCATGATGTTACTCCCAAGCATAACCATCACCCATATCAGGAACTCAGCACACACACCCGCCACCCAGCACTGCCAGCTCTCAGAACTTCCCACAGCCAGTCCTCATACACTGATCACCAAGAACACAACTTGCCAAGGATTACCTCCTCTTGCAGCCAGGCAAATCCCCAATCTGGGCAAGCCCCAAACCACTGCCTTCGTTACCTTTTCCATAAAGCCCTAAATCTGTCCGCTCCAACGCAGATCTTCCAACTCTTTAGCTGTCCTTTACCACACTACTCTTTTTTTGTTTTTGAGGTGTGGTCTGGCTATGTAGTTTAGGCTGGTCTTTTTGTTTTGTTTTGTTTTGGTTTGGTTTTTTGAGACAGGATCTCACTATGTAGCTGAGACTGATCTGGAACTCACTGTAAGACTTAAAGTCTCACTTTTACTCCTGGAGCGTGAACAGCCAAGAGGCCTCCACGATGCTAGGCCCAAAAGCTCAGCGAGGCTCCAGGAGCTTGTTGGACAGCGAGAGTCACCCAGGGAGGAACACACCAGGCAAGTTGGCAAATAGACCTTTATTAGTCTGGCCAGACGGCACTCCTGAAGCCAAGCAGCTCAGAGAGGCAGCTAGCTCAGAATCAGAGGCCATTTTATATAGGGCTATGGAGGGGGGGTTACACTCAAAACTTACAGGAAGGGGTCAAAGGCAAAGAATCAGTTGATCTGAGCTGGTGGTCATCAATCATATACTGGACCGTTACGTACCAATGATCAGCAGATCGATTATCCATTGTTCCATTTACAACTTAGATCATGGTGTTCAGAACATTCAACTATAGGCAAGTAAGGAGTGGCGTGATTGATGTTGGGTCTCTATGTTCACTACAATTTCCATTTAGTTTCCCAGCTACTTCTAAACAGTTACCTAACAATTCACAATTAATCATTAGTTATCCTATAAGGGATGGGGGGAGCGACAGTCTCTAGGCCGTTTGCTGGTCAACATGGAGTCGCTCTAGTTCAGTTAGACTTTTACATCATTATGTAGCCCAGGCTGGTCTCGAACTCACAGCGATCCTCCTGCCTCAGCCTCCCGAGTGCTGGGATTACAGGCGTGCACCATCACGCCCGGCTAGGCTGGTCTTAAATTCACTATAATTCATGCTGGCCTCGAACTCGCAGCAATCCTCCTGCCTCAGCCTCCCAAGTGTTGGAATTACAGGCATGCACTACCACGCCCGTTTTGAGAGACGTTTTAGAATAAACTGCGTTTCACCACGTCAGCCCGGCAGGAAAAGAAAGGCCCAGTGAATACAAACCCCACCATAAAGCAGCCACAAGACTTCCTAGCCTTACTGTAGCCACTTCCGCTAAGGAATTACTACCGCCCTTACTACGGCGTCCGTAACGCGGCACTTCCGCCCTCATTCCGGTAGGGTTTCCGAGTTTAGCCAACCAGCGTCCGGACTCTGAGGGAGCGGATGCTAATTGGTCCCCTCACGGCACCTCTGCAGCGGTGTGGTGGCCGGTTCGGACACCCGCCTCGTTTCTGAGGTTTTCCAGACCGCCTTGCGATCGTCTCCGAGCAATTTCCCCGAAACAAGCGTCATGCTGCCCTAGCAACTCAATCATCCCAGGGATCCGCGGTCACAGAAATCAACTCCAGCTCTGTGCCCCTAACCTGTAAAGTCCGATGGGCCCCGCGGGGGGCGCGGCGAGGCCCGGGCGCTTCTTCGGCGTCTACCTGCTCTACTGCCTGAACCCTCGGCATCGGGGCCGCGTGTACGTGGGGTTCACCGTCAACCCGGCTCGTCGGGTGCAGCAGCACAACGGAGGTCGCAAGAAAGGCGGGGCCTGGCGGACGAGCGGGAGAGGACCCTGGTAAGGGGAAGGGGTTCTGTGCTTGGAGTCCGCGGGGAGGAGGAGGATCCCTGAGGCGCCGCCTGAATATGGGGTGGGGC